AGGGGTTCTGGCAGTGGCTCATGTCGGTGCCAGCAGGCCAGTGGGCAGCTCTACTTCTCTCCTGGCTTTCTCTTCGAGTCTGATGTTCTTTCTCTTTGTCTCTCTCCCCACGTTCCCTCTCCCTGCTCCCTGTCCCTGCTCCCTTCCACAGCTCCCTGCCCCGCTCTGAGGAGAGTCGTTACTGACAGACAGGCAGCTCCCCTCCTTCCCTCAGGGACCTGGGGTGGGCAGAGGCCCCAGATCCCCTCTTCACCCCATCCCGAGGACTGGCTCAGAGGAACTGACAGCCCATGGGACCCCCCCTTCCTTCCTGGACGACTGGGTTCGTCAGGGCCCCAGACGGCCTCACTCTTTGTAGCTTCTTCTCTGGCCCCAGAAAGCCCCCTTCATCCTCACTTGAGCTCTGGACACCCCTCAGGTGGCCCAATCTGCGGCCAGGCCCCGTGTTGGGTGGCTCAGCCTCAGGACCCAGGAAAGCACACTCTTGCCTGCTGTCAGACTGGAGCCCTGCGAAGTCCAAGGGCCTCCGCTGGCAGGGAACTCCCGTCAGGAGCCTTCTCCGGCAAACAGATACCCTGCTTTCTCCCCACTGTCCACCGAGGGCTCTAGTCCGGCTCTGTGCCACCCACCGCACGCATCCTTTCCACCCACTCGTGCCGCCTGTGGTCAGCTCCGCGTCCCAAGGTAGGACAGGGACCTTCTGGAACTACCAGCTCCCCAAAGGGGTCCGCCCAGCATTGCCAAACGCTTCATTTTCCCGTTTGATGTGATGGGGGCCCCCCAGCTGCCGTCTGCTGCGTCTCAGCAGGAGGCTCCGGGCGCCACCACTTACCTCCCCTGACCCATGTTTTAAGGGAATCGGCTCCAGCTAGCCTGCTGGGATCATTCTCGGCCCTGCCTCAGGAGTGAAGCGTGGTCTCAAGGACCTATAAGGTCTGGAATCCCCCCATCACATCCCCCCATCACGTGATGTATCCCTGTCACGTGACACTGTGTGGAGGAAAGCTGGACCGTTCTTCCCGCGGCCTCCTTTCTGTGCTCCTCCCTCCTTCCCTCCCCTCTCCACAGCCAGGATGGGATACATCCTTGCCCCCTTCTCCCCCAGATCACACACACTACCGTCTCCCCCAAATCCTCGGGAGCAGGATCTCCCGCACTCCCTACCCACTCTCCCTTTTCTTCTGCTCAGTGTTGTCTGAATAAAGTGTGAATTCTTCTGTGTTTTTTAAACTGACATTTTCAATGAAAAACAAAAACATCAAAAAATGAAAAGCCATCTCAAGGTCTCCTCGGTCTCTTTTGTGTGTCGCCCCGTTGTTTCCCTGGGATCTCAATGCCTCTGGGATCCGCAGATCTTCTGCCAAGGAGTCTGAACTAGCCTCCCAGGATCTGCCACCCGCCCACCCCTCACTGCTGGATCTTCTTCGGATTCTTCTTGGTCCCTCCTGTAATTGCTGAGCTGTGTGGTGCAGGTTTCTGTGTCTGCCCTCTTCCCTCCAGGAAATCTCCAGCCCTCCCCAGTGACTTCTACCCTCGACCTTGAGGCAGCCTTTACCAAGCTATGTGAAGATTGACCACCACCTCTGGGACCCACCACCCATCTCTCGATGGCTCCCGGGATTCCTCTTCCCACTCTGTGATTTGTTGCTCCCTCCCCCTTTAAGCCTTTGGGTCTCTCTGTGGCCAGCCCCTTAACCTCTGCGGGCATCTTATACAGTCTGTCGCCATGCCAAAGGCTGCCTGCCTTTTCCTCTAAGTCCAACCTTCTCGCTCCCTGTCTCCCTCCAGTCTGTCACCCTACACGTAAGGCAAGCTGTGCTTTCCAAACCAGACATCTGGGCACCTGCGCCAACATTTTTTTACCTGTCATGTGAGTCTTTTAATGACGACCTAGATCACATTTAACTGTACTTTTAACGGTGATCTGGACTACTACAAAAACCCTAAGGTGGGAAATGAGTGTCCCCCCCCCCCCATTCTAGAGTTTAGAAGCCCAGAGGGAGAATCCCCCCGTCCTCCTCCTCCCCTTGGTGGTCTCCTATTACTCCTGATTTCTCCACACCCACCCATCTTCCACCCTTAGCCTCTCCCCATCACTTCCAATTTCTTCTGCAGGGAGACCACCCCAGGGCTGGTAGCCCAGAGCTGCTGTTACAGCCGCCATGGGGGGTTGAATGTCTCATCCCTAGACACAGGTAAGTATATTTACCCCTCTCCACCACAAAATCAGGTAGGCCACATCACTACCTACTCAACCGTCCCCTGCATGCGCCTGATATTTCCACAGGCAAGCAAGAGTGGAAGCAGGGCGGACAGGAAACAGAGAATCCTAGGTGAGGTCTGGACCCTCCCCTCAACCAGCTGTTCCCAACATACACCTCCTGCTGCCCCGTGACATCATTCTTGACCATGCCTTCCTCTTCCATCTTTGTACTGCACACCAGCCCTCGCCCTCAGTTATTCTAACACCTAATGAGCCTCTTTAACAAGCCTCTTTCCCGTAATGCCCTTCCTTGTGGCATTTTTCTCTGTGGTTATTTTTAAGGGCTTCCAGTTCTTCGGGCACAGCTAAGTCGTGAAGAGCCTGGTTGGCACAGGGATTATGCATTAGGCTGCCAGTCCTTGAAATAAGCAGCCAGCTCCGTGGGAGAAAAAGGAGGCAAGGCTTTCTACTCCAAGGAAGTGTTAGCCTCGAAAGCTCACAGGGGCAGCTCTACTCTGTCCTACAGGGTCGCCGTCAGAATTGGTGGCAGTGAGATGAACTAGTGGTCATGGGTCGGTGTGAGTTGGAAGCAACAAGGATGACAGTGAATTTGATTTGAACCAGTGGTTCCAGCCTCAGACCTCACCAAAACGTGGCCAGGTGGACATGGAAGAGTTTGGGGATCTTAATTACCGGCTTACTTCTCCTATACCCCCTCTCCACCTCCCAGGTCTGCCAATCAGGATCAGGTCGTTTCCCAGAATGGGCCCAGGGAGCAGCCCTCGCACACAGTTTCCTTGCAGGTCCAGGACCCACCTACCCGGGCCTGGAGAGTAGGTGGGGACATGTTCAACGCCAGGTTCGTTCGAAACTTGCAGGAAGGTCGCAGCACCAGGCCCTGGTGAACCCCAGCTACCTCTCCTAGTGCCCAAGATCGTGTATCTTCCCTGCTCCACGACACAATGCCTGATGCATTCATTCATTCAACAGGCTTCAACAAAGGTTTTTTTTTTAAGCAGTCTAATAAAAAATATTCTTATCATGAATTGTTCTAAAGCTTTTAATTATTTCATCTCCCCACGCCGGCCGGACTCACTCATCCAGCCCCATCTCCCGCTCAGATTTCAGCCAAATCTCCCACCGCCGGTGGAAGAGCGGTTCTCCGC